GGTATATGGAGATTTGGATTTTTTTTTTCAAAATAAAAAGTTACTAAAAAAATCTCAAGTGACTAGTAAAGTTTTTTAGATTAATGATAAAGAATATCTTTATTATTAATGTCACCCATTTTTTTCCCTCCTTTTCCAGTGCCCACAACGAATTATACTTTATAAATACTGAATTTAACAAGTCACTGACCCGCCCCAGCATGTTCAGTAGGAAGAGATTCCCACAAATCACCACCATAGCTGTGATCATTTGCAGCTCTCTTCATTACATAAGTTGTTCAGTTTATTTTTTTTTAAGTTTGAATTTATTTTCCATCAAAAGGTCAAATTTGGGTTAATTACCCTAAGTACACAATCTTGGGTAGAATCTTTTTTTCCACTTTTCAAGACTTGAGGTCTGACCCTAATTAACTGCAGTTGCACTCTGGACTGTGTTGAATGCTCACATTATAGGAAAAGTGACATAAAAGGAGGTATTAGCAATAAGGAATGTCACTGACACCTGACTCAGGCCTGACGTGTAATAAGTACTCAGTGACTATTTCTTGAACTAATAATGAATCAATGGCTAATATTATTCACCTGCTAAGCCCTTAGACTAAGAACTTACTGTATATTATTTCATGAATCCTCACAGCAGCTTCATATGAGTATGGGTCTATTGTAGTCTACCTTTTACAAGTGGGGAAACTGAAGCTTAGACAGTGTGCAGCAAGGTGGCTGAGCCAAGGTCCTGACTGGGGCTTTCTGATTTTACTTACTACCCTTGTACTTTCAATGATGGTATTTCTACCTATAGAACCTTTTTTAACTTGTTTCTTTTTTTTAGGGCCAGTCCATTAAAAAGAGGCTGTTGTATTGTTTGTTTGGGGGGATTAATTTTAAATCAATCTTGATTGGGAAGGAAGGATCTTTGTTTTCTTGGTTTTTAAAAACTGTGTCATCCCATATGGTAGCCACTAGCCACTTGTGGCTGTTTACATTTCAAGGTAAATGAACTAAAATGTTATACAATTTAGAATTCAATTCCCCAACTTTATTTCCCACATTTCAAGTGCTGAGCAGACACATGCAGTTAGTCACTACTGCATTGGACAATAGAGAGAGAGAAATTTGTTCTTATCACAAAAAGGTCTTTTGGATAGTGTTCCGAAATTCTAGAGTTTTCAGTTGGAACTAGTGAAAGTAACACTAGTTAAAACCTATCTTAAAAAATAGATTCCATGATTACCATGGCTCTCAAGCAATAACACTCTATGTTTCTCTTTTTTTAATTTTTATCTTTCTTTATCCTTTCTGCAAATATTTGACTGCCATGGCAGGGACTGCTATAGGAGTTGGGTTTCAATAACAAACAGAAAAAGACACAGCCTTTATCTTCCCAAGTCTTAGCATCTAAATTCATTTCAATTTAATTTTCTTTCAACAAACATCTTGTGAGAACCTCCATTTGTGCTGAGATCATGCTGGGTGCTGGAATACAAAGATGAATCCAGAGGAATCTGAGTTCCTTGAGGAACTCATAAATGGCAGGAGAGACAAACACATAAGGACAGTTAAAATGTAAAAGGATGAAAAGAAATCTTTCTCCAGCTGTGGAAGTCTTTCTGAAGGTGGTGTGGTGGCCCCTGAGTTTTAAGGAATCCACAAATGTCGAGCAGGTGGAGAAAGCTGAGTGGCTATAGCAGAGGCATCAAGGTGAGCAGTGACTCTGTGAGTCGTCTGGAGTTGCTAGAGCATTGTGAAGAGGAGGCGAAGTCAGAGACCACAAAGAACCTCGGTGACAGAACATGGCCTATGAGACCTTCCATTTTCTACCTACTATTTAACAGAAATTAAAAGCCAACAAACTGCCATTGGTGAAAGGGAGAGAAGGTGAAAGAAGGTTATGTAAAACGTGATTCCTAGGAGATACTTATTACATGGCAATTATTGCCTGACTGGGCCAAGAAGCACTTTGGAAATAAATTACTGGACTTCCAAGCTGAACTGTTACCTTGTATAAGAAGGAAACTGTTCTTAAACAAGATTGATGTTCAGATTATTCCATAGGAGACAGAAAATAATGCCAATGGGGAGAAAAATGAATAAGGACAGGCCTGAGAAGAATAATGAAGGGGCATTACTGGGTGGTTTATGATGTGTGCCATTTTGTTAATGTTAAGCTTTCCAAGGGTGTCATATAAGTCACAGAACAAGGCATTAAATGAAAATTTTATTTTTTTGTTTAAAACAACAAACTATGAACTAAATAAAAAGATAGGAGCTTGAGAACATGGGGAGTTGATTATAAGGGCATAAAATTGATCACAGGTGTATGTCTCACCATGAAGTTAATGAAGACAACCACCACATTTACGTTTGTTTGCTGCTTTAAAGATTATCAGATGGTTTGACCTTGCATTAATTCATGTGATCCCACCTCAGCTCTGGGAAATGGACATTATACTACCTCCATTTTACAGATAATGGATAGTAAAATGAACAAGTCTTGCCCAAGGTTCTTTCAACTGGAAAGAGCCAAACTGGAATTGAAACTCAGGTGCACTGACTCTAAAATGAATTCATTTGGTCTATTCAGCATCCTCCTCCAACCACACTCACTCAGAGAAAGTTCTTCAAAGGTTAGAACTCCTCTATTCCTCTCATCACAAAGTTACGTTTGACAATCAACCTTGATAAAAATCTCTTCAGCCCAAGTGAAGTTCCTTATGTTTATTATAGTTGGAATTCCAGAAACTTCAGTGAACTTCCCTAGAAGAAACAATCTGTTACCTCAAAAGAAAAGAACAGTAATGGCAAGTTCTTTCATGGGCCGCCTTGGTCGGTGCTGTCTGCTGTTGCTGCTCAGCGATTACATCTGGTGAAGTGAAGCAGCCTCACAAGCTGGAGGAGAGCAGGGAGACAGCTGCCGGAACACTCTACTTTTCTTAGTTGTATAAACTAATTTTATGAATTTATAATTACTTCTCAGCATCCAATAAATTATGATGAAGACAAGGGAAATTAATACTTGGAGCAAGTGCAAAATACTAGGTAATGTTAGACATAAGACAGAAATATTTATAAAGCATCTGGTCTGTTGTGCGACTAGACATTATTTATTTTGTTCACCAAAATCCCAATAGTGTCAAAGGCAGGGGGAGAAAAATACAGCATTTTTAAAGTAAAATGTTTATTATGAAATATTTTAAACATGAATCTACACTTTCGCAATCAAATGCAGTTTTTACACTAGTTTCATAAAGGACTTTATAAGTGAAAAATTTAATAACCTGATTATTTTAGAAACGCTTTTAAAATTTAGCCTATAAATTTGCCTAAACCACTGTCCTAATATGGTCATTATTCAAGTTGGAAAGACTGTGGGCAAGAACTTCACCTAGTTAGCTTATTTGCCACCTGAAGGAGGTAGAATATCTACTCTGAGATGATCTCTGGTAGTATTTAACATACTATGACTTATAGATTAGGTTCAAGGCTAGAGATTCACTTCTTGAGACTTTGGGCCATTTCCCCCCATTGGATTATATATGGAAATGTAATGTTGAATGAGAAGACTTACAGACAAATCTAAATTCATAAATAACCTAAGCTATGTATTGTTTTTAAATTGTCTTATTTGTCCAATTGAAAAGAAAACAAAAAAAAGAAGAAGAAGAAGAAGAAGGGTTAGTCTGAGAAAAAGAAGCCTAATGTTTGACCTAGATCCTGTGTTCTAAAAGATATTGTAACGAGTATTTCCCATCTTCACCATCTTCACAGAGGTTCTTATCAGTGAAGAAAATGTTTATCTAATGTCTGTCTTGCCCCTGCCCCCAGACTATGTCTCCTTAGTGGCAAGAATATGTGTCTTGTTAAATATTTTATCCTCAGTGCCTGCTTAGAGACAGAATACTGTGTAATACTCAGTCAATACTTGGTGAATGAATAAACAGAATAAACAGATGAATAAACAGAAAAACAGATTTTATCATGTAAAAATAATTACTTCTGATATAGGATATTAAAAAGTTGCACATCTCAGCACGTATCTGTTGTCAGTATACCCCAACCCTGCTTTGTCAGTCCCCTAAGAGAGAGGTACTAATCCAATTGGATTATGATGAACTTGTTGGCTTTGAATTTTGGCTGTTGGAAAAGGTTGTCTTATATATGTAGGGTGCCCAAACACTTGCTTAGTAAAATGAGAGAAGGGATTGAAAGTACATTTAATCAAAAATAGATCTTCAAACACTTATAGGGCATTTTTGTTTTGTTTTGGGATTTGGGGGGGTTGGGTTTTTGAGGTTTATTTATTTTATTTTGTATTTGAGACATGGCCCCACTCTGTCACCCAGGCTTGGGGACAGTGGCAGATCATAGTTCACTGAAGCCTTGAACTTCTATACTCAAGCAATCCTCCTGCCTAAGCCTCCCAAATTAATGAGATTACAGGTTTGAGCCACCACTCCTGACCTAAATACTAGTTGCTGTTTGACTTCATGTGATATCAATTTTTTAATGATATTGACTTTCCTCTTTTTTTATAACAAATGACTGATGTCCATTGGAGAGAAATTACTTAAATGCTCTTTTTTTCTGGCTTCAGAAAGAGCCTTAGAGGTATCTTTTTGAACACTAAACACATACACACAGAGACATAGACATATTTGATATTCGTGTCATATATTTTGCATACTATTTTACATTTTTTTTGTATGTGGTATATATTTTAGAAATAGCATATATTCTGTTTTGTGAGTGCAAGTTCTTTCCGGTAAGAGTGTGAGTTCTTTGAGGTTAAGAGTTTTGTCAGGGTTATCCTTCTTATCTTTGCATCTAGAAATGTGTCTGACCCAGTAAATACTGTAATTAAAAAGCAAATGGTTTTCATTAAGAAGCCTATTAGGTCCTAATTTTATTTGTAAATTAGTGTTCTAGTTTAGTTTAAATAGTCTTATCAATTTCTAGTTATTGGAAAACTGGATCTTAATTTTGCCTTTTTTTTTTTCTTCCAGGAAGAATCCCCAGCACAAGATAGAATATAGACATAGTACACTTCCAGGTAAGTAATTCTGCTGCAGAAAACTCAAAATGAAACCTTTGAATGATTTTCCTGTTAAACCTGAGTGCAGTTTTCAGTTTTTATGAGATTTTTTTCATCTCTGCTTCTATGAATTTGTTGAATTACTGGCTTGAATGTTTTTCTTAGTTAAAAGAAAACAGCAGTGAACCTTTTATATAGCAAATGTTTTCCCCAATCACTGTCCAAAATATGTATTTGTTCTTGTATCTCTTAGGATTTCCTTTGTTTTAATGTACCTGAAAATAGTATTTCAGACTGGCCTGAATGATAATTGACTTCTGTAACTAAAAAAGTCCAGTGTTGAGACTGGATTTAGATAAGATTTATTGTTTTGGTTGGTATCATTAATAATGTCCCCAAGAAACCAATCTGCTTCCATCATTCTGTCTTTAGAGGGCCTCATTACCATTCCAAGGCTGGCTCCTCTCCCACGTGGGACTATATGCATCCTCATTCAGCTGGGACCATAAGCACCCATGTTTATATCTAAGGAGGGTGGGGACAGAGACATGGAGAGAGATGAACAACTTTGACTTTCATGATTTCTGGGAAGAATCTTAAAATTTGCTCCTTTTACTGGCCTAGATCACATTCTTTTTTTTCTTTTTTTAATAGTTTCAGGTTAATTGAAGGTACAAAGAATTAGGTTACAATGTTTGCATTTGTTAGGTAAAGTCCCTCTCTAGATGCATTTTTACCCATGTACCAACCACTGTGGCCACTGATCAGTTTGTATCACTTCTGAAACCAGGGTAGAGTTACCTTCATCAGAACCACAGGGATCTCCAATAGAAACTAAAGCTATGAAGAAACGTGAGGGGGAGGATAAACATCAGAGAAGCAGCCCTCAAATGTCCATCTGTCCTATTTACATCCATCCATTTTACCTTCTGTGTTCCTTGCTTCTGAACTCTTTAACAAGATGCGACTTTTTCATATCACTTATACTACATTTATACAGAGGCCAATTCACCACATATTATTTCTGTCCAGAGAGTGAGAGTATAAAATGCATACTCTCAAGGCTATGTTACTTGCATTTATATGTGGTATGTGTATTCATACAACCAACTCATAATCAAGTGATGAAAATAATTAATTTCACTATAAGGGAATTCCATTTACTATTTTTTACTGAAACATACTTTAGTGCTTTAGTATTTTAGACTTCTATCCCTAACTGAGATAAAATAGTATGTTATATTTTCTTTACTCGGACTATATCTAATAATATAGTATTTATGGTTGTTAAAGTATCTTCCTTTCCTGTAAATAAAGTAATAATATTAGATTAAAGCCATATTATTGACAAATTTATAGCATTGTCCTATGAAAGGGAATTTAGCACATTTGTACAACTTTATAGAAATCAGAATTATTTATCTAAAACCATGAATATGAATATGTATCCTATAGCATAGCTTAGAAAGGCAGTTTTTTTAAAAAAGTATAGATATTTTAAAGCAATGAGTTTAAGGCTATAAATGTAGCCCTATACTTCTAATGTACTTTCAAGAGTTGTTATATGTCAAAATAGTCAGAACATCTCCTCCTCTTACAAAATCTATAAATTGAGAGTCTCAAGTATTTCAAATATTAAATGTTTAGGTATCATTGCATTTCCTAATTTAGAGATCTCAAACACTGAATTCTAGCACACTTACTTTTCTTATACCTCAAATCCTTAAAGCTTACTTAATACCCCAAATCTTAATCTCATGTATGTATTGATTCATTTATTCACACATGCATTTATTCATTTATGTCTTCCATGTGAGCTAAGGTCCCAACAGAGGAGAACCAGCTCATGTTCTGCCTGCTTGTGGTGAGATCCTGGAAGGAAGGGAAGGAGCACTTTCTGCTGGGAATTATCAGGGTATATTTGATGTAGGGATGTTAAGTTAAATTCTGCTTTAAGGTGGTAAGATTTCAGTCATCTTTGTTTCTTAGCTTTGTGGTGGCTGAGTATGGGGCAGCCCAGACAAAGTGAATAATAAATCAATCAAGGACATCAAGGTAGAGATGTTGTGGTTGGAGTTAGCAAGTGCATCAGTTTAGCTGATGTAGAGAGGATGATTAGTTACTGAGGATGATACTGAAAGGGTGTATTGAGGCCAGGTTATGGAAGCACTCAAAGCCCAGACCAAAGATGTGGGTACTTTGGTAGATAATGGTAAGCAAGTGTTTTACCAGAGTCAAACTGGATGATGAACAATCTGAATTAGAGCTGGGAAGACCTTTGGGGATCAGTTAGGTTGTTGAGTAAGGAGCCAGATCTACGTAGAGTGGCCATCATGAAAGTGGAAAGGTAGAATTGGATACAAGAGGAAGAATCAAGAGGATTTACCAACTGATTTGGTATGGTATCGGGGCTGAGGTATGGTAAAGGAAATAGGAATGGGTCAGGATTATACTACAGTTTTCAGAACACTGGAAGTGGCATTTACACATAACAGAGATTAGAAGGATAACTAGGTAGGTATTTTTGTGTTTTTGTTTTAACTTAACCATACTGAATTTGAGGTTAGGGTATCATAACTACATAACAAAACAATACAATTATTAATACAGTAATTTCTGGCATGTAATACCTCAGACACTTCCATCTGTAGACTTCTTCATACATACCATGATTTATATAGTCATTCTCTTTTTTATAGGTTTGACTGCTGTCTTGTATATCTATCTAATTGGTTTAAAATTTTGCTTTTTGTACTTTTGTAGAATACTCCAGTTTTAGCACAGAATGTTAAATGCAAGAGTAACCAGTGCCACGAAAATTTTGTTTTATACTTTCTTAAAAACCTTACCTGTTGACAGTATTTTAAAAAAATTATCATTAATGTTTTATCATCTGAATACTGGAGTCATTCTTTCTGGCCTTCATCATCATGTGATGCCCATTATTCTAGGTAATTAGTACTGTTACTGGCTAAAAATTTAGAATGTTCCATTGACAGATACTTTAATATTTCCCTATTTCTACAATAATATACATATATGTACATATATATATATACATTTTCCCCCAGAAGTTAAAACCAAAAGTTCTAGAAAGAAAGCTATTAAGAAGGGATAGGGAGACTTAAATGAGATTCTATAAATTGCTGCTTAGTGTGGAAAAAGCTGAGAGAATATGAAATATGAGAAAACCTGGTACAATAATATTTTCAAGAAATAGTATACAAACTGCTTTCCCAAAGCTAAAATTGAATACCCACTATTTGCTTGGTGTGTTATACTATACATAGTAAATTTCTATCTTTAGAGATACTGGGCCAAAATATTTCTTAATTTAATAAAAAATAACATCCTAGGCTCGGCGCCTATAGCTCAACCGGCTAAGGCGCCAGCCACGTACACCTAAGGTGGCGGGTTCGAATCCCCAGCCCGGACCTGCCAAACAACAATGACGGCTGCAACCAAAAAATAGCCGGGCGTTGTGGCGGGCGCCTGTGGTCCCAGCTACTTGGGAGGCAGAGGCAGGAGACTCGCTTGAGCCCAGGAGTTGGAGGTTGCTGTGAGCTGTAATGCCACGGCACTCTGCCCAGGGGGACAGCTTGAGGCTCTGTCTCAAAAAAAAAAATAAAATAAAATAAAATAAAAAAATAACATCCTAGTTAGTCCTGAGATTTAATGAAAAATACAAGAAAATAAAACATGAAGAATTATCACTGTTAAGCTGTTAATATAAAATGAAATATCTCCCATCTTCTTAAGTTTTAATACCAGCAAACTAATAGTCAGCAATTGGAAAAGATCTTTGCTCCATGCAAAGTCAGCATTTCTTCCAACATGCTTTTGACACAGTGGACTCTCCAGTAGCTCTGCAGATTTAGATCTTGGGATAAGAATTGACAGTGACATTTTTAAATTGTAGAAGAAATATTAGATTAAAAAATTTGAGTTGTCATTCTCATATTACAAATCCTTCCACATAAATAGAAAAGCTAGAAAGTATCATATCCTAATACCATATAGTTAATAAAATGTTGTTTGAAAAATGTTAAAAAAAAAGAGTGTATTACTTTTTCTAAAAGTTATTTTTCATCATGGCAGTTTAGTGTTAGGCATCAGTTTTTACAAATAAGTGATAACTTATATACTTCGTGTTGCCTTCAAGCTGCCAATCCCTGTCCCCACTTCATGTTACTTCATTGATTCATAGAAAAAGGAATATATCTGCTTTGGCCTTAAAATTAGAATTTGGATGTTAGAAAGAATCTTTGAAATCATTTAATTATTTTGATTTGTAGTTTAAAAAAAAAAAACTCCATTAGGTTAAGCAATTTGTTCATTATCATGGGCTTGTTTATGACACACATAGTTGCACTTCTACCCTCTGGTCGAGTTCTCCTTCTCTTAAGCCATGCTGGGTTTTTTTTTTTTTTTCAACACAAAATTCTCTTTAATAAGAAAAGCACAGGCTCCATTTTGCAGTTTTTTGCTTTCTACCTAAGTTTATGGATTTGAAATTATTAGTGACATCTCTTGGAAATACAATTCAGTCCAGATTCCACTCCATCACAAAAATATATCAAAATGATTATGCAGTTTACAAATAACACAGATATGGGAACTAAATACCAATTAGAGGAATAGAATAAAAGAATTTTGTGGCTTACAGAGTCTTTTTGCTGGGTGAGAGGGATGGACAACCAAATAAGAACAGCTGTAACTAGCAACAAGAAACCTCTAAGCCTTCTAGGTGAAGACAGAGAAAAAAGATAATTTCCTTAAGCTTTCCATGATTTGGAAACATCTTGATTACAAAATAATCCATAATAATTTCACAAAAGATCTTGGCCAAACAGGACGACTATCAGAATCAAAATGGAGTCACTAAAAAAAAAACGCAAGCAAATACAGCTGAGTACAAAAGTACTGCTAAGAAGACATTTTCCCAAATGTTGAAATTTGGGGAAATGTTGACCTAAATAATACATGGAGACACTCTCTGAAATAAAAGATATTTATTT